TATATTTTGTTTGATAGAACTTTCTAAATCATATATCATCATCATCATCATATATAGTATAAGTAAGGTAAATTTTAGCTTTCTAGGTCTCTCATTCAATCTCAACCTGACTAATTATTCTTTGCCCCTTAATGTAAAAAATCAATGATTTTGTTTTTTGCTAGTTATAACTAATCTATATACTTATTTGTGTAGTGATTTGCTGATGTGTTATGCTCACAGCGACTTTCATAGTGTTTAGCTTACATGTCATCGCCATAATGAATTTCGGCTGCAAAAAGACATTTTTACCCTAATTAGCTATTACGTCTCATTTTTTATTGGTTCTTATATGATGATGGGTGTTAAAAATAAGTTAAAACAAACCGGTCTAAAATTCTTATGGTTTAATGCTTAATTTCGCTATCAAATTAAACCGTATCTAAAATTTAAAATCAAAATTAAAAAAAAGTCTAACAAAAATAAAAATATTTATATATATAACTAATGGAATGCGGTTAAAAAAATAAAATCATCTCTAACTAATGGAATGTCGCTTACTTACGTGTCGGCTCCACAGCGAGTTTCAGAATGTTTTGCTTACGTGTTATCTCCAGAATAAGTTTCAGCTGCAAAAAAACTTTTTAACCATATTTTTAATTACTTGTCATTTTTTATTGGTTATTATATGATGATGTGTTAAAATAACTTAATTAAAACAAACCACTCTAAATTATTGTGGCTTAATGATTCATTTCATTGTCAATCAAACCGTTTCTAAAATTTTATAAAACCGAAATATAGTAATAATCTAACAAAAAAAAAAATTTAATAAATAGTCCAATGGAATGACGCTATTTGTGATGTCTAGATTAGAGTTTTTAACTTCAAATATTTTAGTATAAATATATACAACTTCTTTCTGATTCTCTCACACTCTTCTAAATTGTTTGACCTCTTCTTTTGTCTTCAAATAAGTTTGTACAGTAGTTCAAAAAACTATGTCTAAAATACATAAAACAATGATAAAAAATGAATAAGTTCGTACGGTACTTCAAAAAAATAAGTCTAAAATACATAGAACAGTGATCAAAAGATCTCAAACTATTTAAATTAAATTATTTTGAACTAATATATTTTTATCTATTATATTCTATACTGTTTTTTACGATCATATCTTCAAACATTAAAATACAAAAATATAACAAACATATATATTCAACAATAGAGAATAAAAAACAAATCAATCCAAATTACTATGAATTTTTAAATAATCAAATAAAAAATTATATCAGTCCGCGCAAAGCGCCTGAAAGTTCACTAGTTACCATTAAAAATCTAATCAGTTCGCTATATTAGATTTATAAATAGGAAAGCATGTTTTTGAAGATTAGGGGCCGCAAGGCTCTTTCAGTTTAACCCTAATCGGCGATCAATCAAAACTTTTTCTTCAACAGAGACTTTGGGTTGTGTTCATGGAATCATGGTTAATGAGGAAGATTATTTGCCAGCAAAGATTTCTATGACTTATCGATCGAATATCAAATCGTATATGCTCCTCAGATCTCGACTTCGTTCTGGTTTATTTTTTAAAGAAATATGGTTTCCTTTGGATTTGAGATTCCCAGAGAAGAAGCTTTTGCTGTTGGAGATGTTTTAATACATCTCAATATCTCATGAATTTATCCATCTCGCTTCCATTTTGTGCTGATTTCGATGCTAGAGTACTTAATCCAGTCTGAGACGTAAGATTACTTACACCTATATTTTGATCACAATTGCATTGCTATGTTCTAATGTTTAGTTCTTAGGATCAGATGGAAGAATGGGTGGCTCCTTCTGGGATTTGGATCAGTTTTCTTTCATCATCTTTGTGGGAGGATTCGGAAGTTGTCGCTGAATGGCATCCGAGAAATTGGTCGAGGATGTCATGAGTGTTGTTGCGGAATCAAAGAATAGAGAAGAGAATGTCGATGTTGAGAATTCCAGGGACAAGAACATTAGAACAGTTCCAAGACTCTTGACTTATCAACCAGTGTTCTTTTCTTTTTAAAGCTTTCATATTCTCAACTTATCGATTTCTTCTCTGCAGTATCAGTTTGTGACACCCACTTTTAAGGATGCAGCTTCAGTACCTACTTCAAAGTGAGTCAAAATGTTTTCTAATTTCAAATACGCAAATATAAGCCAACTAGATTGCTACAAAGCTTGAAGAACAAAGGAACTGTGTTGGTTGTGAAGTTAGGGATACCAAGCAAACCTTTGAGCTGTTGGAGTCCTATAACAATGGTGGCACCATCCACGAACCCTATTATGGCTGCGTGAGACAGAAAATCCACCAGAAGCCCTAATTTGAATATCCCAAAGGAAGCTTGGAAGATTTCGGCAAAGAAAATTGTGGTTAGGACGAGTTTCTTGTACCCCAAGGGATCTGTTTCTGGATCGATCAGTTTCTGCAACATCGAGGATTTAATAAGAGATATTACAGCCACTTCCCATTGGTTTAATGACTGATCGAAGAGACAAAGAAGATAGTTATGGTATGTGAAATTATTGAAATTATTTATTTTAAAATTATTTCCTTACTTTCTGTTTTTGTATTTTTTTTTCTCTTTGTATCTTTTGGAAATTTTATCTGTCAAGTTTTTGAGCTGTTTAGTTTTATTGCCTTAGTTTTATCTATATATATGGAGGGGCGAGAGGGAGAGAGGGAAAGAGAGAGAGGGAGGGAACGAGGGGAAAAGAGGCATATGGAAGGATGGAGAGAGATAGGGGGAATGAGGTAGGGAGAGGGGGAAAGGGAGGGAGAAAGAGAGGGGGACCAGCGTAAAACAAAGATGGGTGTTTCAGAACATTTTTAAAAACTCGTGTTTGTCATAGTTCGTTTGGTTGTTGATTTTATACATTTATTTAGTATTTTTTTTTTGGAGAGAGTTTGATTTTGGATAGTGTTTTCATTTTTGGTTTAGTTTTATTTTGATAGTATTTCTAATTCTCTTTGGTATATAACAAAAACATTTTGGATTATATTTATAAAATCCTTCGGCACGTAGTCAAATAAATAAATTAAGCGTTTGATATTTTGATGCTACACTATATTAATTTTTTTTTTCTTTTTCTTCTCAAATGTTGCAACTAGTTACCGATAGCTAGATTCTCTGATAAGTATAAGAAAATAAGCATAACCTAGCTTGTTCACAATGTTAGACGCAAATACAGAAAACTCAAAAACTTTTATTTTCTGATATCTCTTGGATTGTTCATCTCACAAGGATAATGTAGAGGGTAAATACAATTAACATATATAATACTTAAAAACCGTGAGACTCTTTTCTTGGACAATAACTAAAAAAATAAACTCAACTAATAACGTAAGATGACTCTAAAGGTTTAATTACGAGTGCTGAACGGAGCACATTAGACACTGAGACACGTGTAACGTTAATAACACAGAGGCTTGAGTAGAACACACAGAATTTCTAAAACCAAATTCATTAAGAATCACTTAGACTATCTTAACAGATCTGTCTAATCAGAATTACACAATTTTGATATACATAATTCAACACTGGCCAATTCTTAATATACTCAACACTGGCCAATTCTTAATATACTCAACCAGCACAACAACAGTTGTGTTTCTAAATTTTGTTCATTCATCAAAAACTCTAATCTCACACTTAGTTTCTTGTGACTAACAACTCTCTTAAAACGGCTAACCACTCACAAGAATCGCCTTCATGAATATATACCATATCTCGATAGGAGCATCAAGCATGTGTATATCTTCTTTCCTTCTTGTTACGATCTTCCAATCTTCTTCCCGCCAGCTGCTCATCCTTAATGCCACGTCAGTCTGCTCTTTAACATCCTACGTGTCACTCACGCCTTTCCTTGTTGGAAACTCTCGCGCACCAGTCCTTGCATGTGCTCCGCACTCCTCCAGTGTTGAATCTCTACACTTTGGATCTTACAACACGAACTTAATTTAAAGTAAACATGGCTTAACCCGCAAATCCTCCTAGATCTTGAGCTTGATAAATATGTTGCTGCAGTTTTGAATGAGCTTCTTTTTCTTCTTCTTAATTATTTTGTTGATTGATGTCACCTGCCGTATTCATCATGAACTTATCGATGTGGAACATCAAATTTTCCAAGCCATCAAAACCAAAAACTTCTCACGGATATTGTTCTTGGTACGACAGCATCATGTCGTTGTTGTTGTTATGTGTAGTCATTGTCCGATTGTCATTGTCTCCAGTCCTACATCTTGGCTTTGAAGAGGAGGAGGAGGAATCAGTGTATATTGATGTTGTTGATGAGTGGCGTCATCGTGTTCTCTCTCTAGCATCATTATCCAAGTCTCATTAGCAAAACGGTCAAACCAACTTCTTCTTCTTGCACTTAGTTAAGCATCATCAGGACGTTATTGTGGTTACTATGAGGAGGAGGCAGAGAAAGAATCGGTGTATCCATGCCCTTTTTTGCTGAGCGAAGGTCACCATGTTCTCTCTCTAGGTGCAGCATCGTCTCAATCTCATTAGTAAAACCAGCTTCTTCATCGTGCATTTGGTTCAGTAATTAAGATGTTGTTCTCCACCTGAGGAACCTGGTCAACGAATCAAAGTTTGTCTCTTTTCTTGGTCTTGTCTCTGATCCAATACAAGACCAAGTCGTCGTGAACATCCTTGTGAAGAAAGTATTCCGTCATGAGCCAATCCGTCGTTATGTGGATGTTACAAGGAGTGTTTTTGTTTTTGTTTTTATTTTTATATACACTTGTATATCTTATACATATCATTTAACAGAAGCCAAGAAAAAACAAATCATACAGATTTTCAAAAGCCTCCCAAGACTACAAAATCATACCCAACTCCTCAAAAGGTTTAGAATCTAATCCAAAGCCAGAGTATTCTTATTAATAGAAAAATAATTTTCTAAACATGAATTCATATCATTTTGCAAAATGATTCTTATTACATGAGTTGATACTATATAGAGTATATAAATCTACTACTACATCATTTGCCTCGGTGTTCATCTCCGCAGTCACCAATCACTTGGAGAAGATTTTTACCTTTCTTGGTAACCTCTTGTATGCTATTAACATCTTCATCATCCAATTTTAATGAGAATATAGCGTTTGCGTCTTGTATATATTCCGCGCTAACCCGAGTCTCACCCCAATCATAGATCCAGCAACTCCTGGCTGCATTGAGATTCCATTTTTCAGAACAAACCAAAAACCAGACTCTTTTTAAGCGCCAGAGTACTCCATGTCAGGAAAGACAAATACCTGATCTATTACATATCTCACAGCTACTGTCGGAATAGAGACTCCATGCTTTGTGGCTATGTTCTTCATCGTTCGGAGTAAAACTTGGAATATATTCAACCCTCCCCATGCATCAACCACCTGTATTGCAACTTTCAAAAATCTTATAACAGTACAAAATTATGATGCAAATTTATACAATGAGAACACTTCCCAACTCCAATGGCAGTTCAGGGGACAATGATTTTGTATATCTTTCAGGTCAACTGGGACTTACTGAGTCAGCTAACGGTGGTCCTCGATTTCCCTTATAGTGTCTTTCCTAGTTTTGGGTTTGCTTTAGGTTTTAGTGTATATGGGGACGAAGTCTTAGTTATGACACTCACATAAAACTTGAAGTGCTTTAGAGGTTTTGAGACTTATTTTCTTTGAAAGTTTTGATTTTCAGTTCAGTGTTACTTTTGTGTAAAGTTAATAACAAATAGCTCTACTCTATACTTTCCCTTCTTATCATTTCAACAATTTGGATTTAATCTGTGAATGATTGAACACTTATCGTTTTGTACAATTGGAAAGAAGGAGTCTTCAAGGGAGTAGTTAAATTGGTATCAATACTTCTCTGATAGTAGACCGCCAAAAAAGAGGAAGTATGAAAAGTACAAAATGTTCGGTCATCGCGCTAGTATTCACATGATTGCTAACAACAGGGATTCCATTATCCAGGATTTTCTCAAGTCTCTCTGTATCAAAATTTGCCAAACCAAGAGTCTTGATTTTACCTGCAATCATTGTCAAGTAAGCCAATAGAAAAATAAATCGTCACTCACAAGAATGGAAAAAGATATATCCCTACTTTGTTTACCTTCTTCTTTTAGGTCAGTGAGGTGTTTAAGTGCATCAAGATAACCGTCATTCCCATAATCCCACCTATTCCAAACTACAGATTAGCAAAATAGGGAATAATGCATTTGGCTGTGTGAAAATGTTCACTACAGAAAGCTACAAAACTTCTAAGCATTTCATTATTTAAATAAGAAGATAGAAGTATAGAACACATCCATCAACTACATGCAATTAAGCAAAAGAGAGAAACACCAGTGAAACTGAAGCATATCTAGAGAAGCCATATTCATTCTCTTCCGAGATTTGTCGAGTCTCTCACAACATAACTGATTGTCATCTTCCCTGGACTAGGAACCCATTTTGTCAAACTGCATCACAAAACATGTAGTCTAATCAATTAGCTACTCTGGTCCATTGCTTTTGATCTCTATATTATTGAAAAAAAATAGACTTAAAACTCTCTTACCCTTTAATCTTTTCCAAATACTCTGGAGGTCGCTCTCGACGAACCTTATTAATAAAAATGCCATAAAGATCTCCTGCAGAACCATCTAAACATACAAAGCCACAAACTAATCAGAATTATATCATTTAATCTTCACACAAAACCTTTGACTTCAGGTTTTTTGTAGCAAAATCATAGCATCAAAATCCTGTAATCTCTTTTTCACTTAGCTAGTATGTTAGATGGATAGCAAAATAACATAATAGTTGAAATCAATAGGACAAGAAAGCTCAAACCTAAATAAACGTAAAACGTTCACAATATTAGATGAATAACGTTTTGTATAAACTTGTTATAAATTTAAAACGTGCCTAATAGATTGATAAAATAGTTTTTCAATTTTCACTTTTTATTCATTGTAAGTTTAAATTCTTTTATGATTTCAGTTTGTGAAATCTATCCCAAGATAAACTAGATTCATTATAATCCAACCAAATACACTTTATAGAAGAAGTAGAAACACTAACCTTGATCCATGTTTTGATTAGGTTTGAGATCAACCAAATAGCCAAAGTTGATTTCCTACTATCGACGCATCCGGCATAGTCTGAATCTGAATATCCGACAACCTCCAGATGATCGGATCTCCTATATGTAAGCATGTGCTCTTTGGTGCCTTGGAAGTACCTGAGGACTTTCTCTGCACCTTTCCAGTTGTCCATTACAGGATTACTTTGATACCAACCCAACATACCAACAGCAAAACTGATATATGGTCAGGTACATGTCTGAACATAATTCAAACTCCCAACCACTGATGCATATGGAATTCTTGCCATTTCCTTACGCTCTAATTCACTTTTCGGACATTGCAATTTGCTAAACTTGTTCCTTTTCTGAATTGGAACTACCCCTGTGGAGCAATTTTCCATTCTATATCTCTCTAAGATTTTATTGATATATCTTTTCTGAGACAAACTTAACAATCCTTTGTGATCTATTCCGAAATATTTCTATTCCAATCACATAAGATGCCTCACCCATATCTTTCATTTCAAAATTCTTAGAGAGATACATCTTTATTTCATGTAGCAAGCCCATGTTATTTGCAGCAAGTAAAATATCATCAACATATAAGACTAAAATCACAAATTTGCTCCTACTGACTGTAATGTAGATGCAGCGATCAACAATGATCTCTACACAATCGTACGACATAATGGTATTATTAAAATTTATATACCATTGTCTAGAAGCTTGTTTTAGTCCATATATTGATTTCCTCAGCTTACATACCAGATGTTCTTTTCCTGTGGCCACAAACCCTTCAGGTTGGTCCATATATACTTCTTCCTCGAGATCTCCATTCAGAAAGGCGGTCTTTACATCCATTTGGTGAAGCTCAAGATCATACTGAGCTACCAAAGCCAAAACAATTCTTAAAAAATTCTTCTTTGAAACTAGAGAGAAGGTTTCTTTGTAGTCGATTCCGTCCTTTTGGGTGAAACTTTTAGCAACAAGACGAGCCTTGTACCTTTCTGTGTTACCTTTCGAGTCGCGTTTAGTCTTAAAGACCCATTTACAACCAACGGTCTTGAAACCATTAGGCAACTCTACTAAGTCTCATACTTTATTATCACCCATAGACTTTATTTCTTCTTTCGAAGCAATCAACCACTCTTCGGAATTGTTACTTTCCATAGCTTGTTGGAATGAGTTTGGGTCTTCATCAATGCTTATGTCACATTCATTTTCAAAAATGTAAACCACATAGTCATCTGAAATGGCAGATCTTTTTTCCCTTCCAGAACGCTTTAAAGATTCTTGTGGTACACTATTCTCTTTTTGAAACTGTACTTTCAGCTAGCGAGTTTTGCACACCATCATGTTGTTCTATTGTGTCATTGAACTCTGATGAAACAATAGGAACAAATACCTTAGATGCAATATTGGGTGAAGGAATTTCAAAAATATAAAATCATTTTCCGCCAAAAATGTAAGTATCCATTTTCTGCCAAAAACGCAAATATCAATTTTCCGCCAAAAACATAAATTTTTATTTTCTCACTAAAAAGTAAAATTTTATTTTTTCTTCCAAAAATTTTAAATTCGATTTTCCACCAAAAATGTAGAATATTATTTTCTGCAAGAACATAAACTATCATTTTCCGTCTGATAGATGTCCACTAAAAACGAAAAAATTTATTTTCCTATCAAAAACGTAAAATTTTATTTTTTCATCTAAAACGTAAAATCATATTTTTCAGTCTAAAACGTAAAATCATATTTACGAAAAATCATTTTTCGTAAGAACATAAAATATTATTTTCTCGTGAAAATGCAAAATTACGTTTTTTCGCAAAAAAAAAAAATATTTTTTTCGGCAAGAACGTAAAATCTACTTTTTCAGCCAAAAATTTAAATCCCCGTTTCTGCCCAAAAAAAATTAAAATCTTTTTTCCTCTTTTTCCTGTCAAAAACATAAAATTTCTGTTTTTTTCCACAAAAACGTAAAATATCATTTTTTCGCCAAAAAATTATATCTTGGTTTTTCGGAAAAAAGTAAAATCTCTTTTCTCGTAACAGTCATAAAAATCCATTTTTCCTCCAAAAACCAAAATCTTGTTTTCTCGAAAAAAACATAAAATATTTTCACACCAAATCATAATATTTTAATTTCTCGTCAAAAACGTAAAATCTGGTTTCTGGCCAAAAATAAATATTTTGTTTTCTTGACAAAAACAAAATTTTTATTTTCCACCAAAAATTTAAAAATGTAAATTTAAGATATAATTAGATTAAATATTTTAGTAACCTTCGTATTTAAACATCTTCATATTAAAATGACCAAACAAACAAAGGTTCATTGAGATGTATCATCCAAATGAATAACCCATAACAAAAATGAATATCATTCTGATGAATTATCGAGATGAATGTTTTAAATAAATCATCTGATAAATTATTCAGATAAATTTTATAAATAAATCATTGGAATGCAAATGACAAATAAGCAAATAAACAGACCTCAAATGAAGAAAAAAAAATGTTTCCCATCATAATATGATTAATATATCTCTCTTCTTAGGGTTTCGTTTCTTGTCGTCTACAGAGAAGTAGAGAGCTATTTGTTATTATTTATATCTTCATTTGTCGGTAGATTCCTTGTTAACAGACAAATTAAAAGAATACTTGTTAATAGAAACTTTTAATATTAACAACAAATCTTGAATGGAGATCTAAATACTGTATACCCACTACTCATTTGTTAACTACAGTTTATCAGTTGTGTTGATATTAATTTATTATCTCTACAAAAATGTTTTTCGTTTTCATTAGGACTTTTGATGCTCTGTTCTTTCTAATTGTTTGCTATTCTGTTTTCTTATTCTTTGACACTTTTTTTTGGTAAAAACCTTTGGTTTTCTTTCTGCTTTGAGCTTTTGATAATAGAACTTTTTTAGATGGCAACAAATAAAAATGATTTCGGGTTGAGCATGCTGCAAGCTATAGAATATTCCTTCAGCCACTGATAAAAGAGCTAGAAATATTAATGTTTAATTTTTATTTTCTTTGCTCTTAAAAACTATTGCTATTTTTGCTTTTATTGTTCGTGTTAATTATTTTATTTTATTGATAAATTTTGTTTAATTTTAAAACTTCACAATTAAAAAGGAAAAAAATTTCCGTCTTGATTTATTTAAAGATAAACCAAAATAAAATTTGAAACAGTTACGCACTTTTCCTTTTTGACTGTCTATCTACTATCTAAAATATATCTTTTTATTTTTTAAGAAATCTGAATTTCCATGCAGTTGAATTTAAATTGAAATTCGTAAGGATAATATTATTATTGGACAGCCAATAAAAAATTCAGTAATATTTTTGTCAATAGAAAACCGGAAACCGTAAACAAAAATATTTTTAAGTGTTTTCCTTTTCGTCTACTTTTCCTTTTCGAACTTAGTTTTGTATTTATGGCTTCATTAGGAAAATTAAGAGAAAAACTATATATAACTTGTTCAATTGCGACGAGACATACTTGCTTTTGAGAATCATCAATAATAACCTTAAGCGAAAACTAACTCCGAGTTTATAACTTCTTCCACTCCGTCAGAATTTGCTTTGGATTTGATATAGGAAACCATGGAGAAGAGTAAGCTTCTTTTGAATCTTACAATTGATTGAGTTTAGGTCAATTTAACCTAGATCTCTTTGTTTTAGGTTCAGTTGCGTTCGAATTTTTATTAGTTCACTTCTAAATCTCTGATTTGCTTTCGTGAGAATTTGTTGACGTTTTATTACTAGTTTGGTTTCTTGGTGTGGTTGGGAAGTTGATTTCGATTGATACATAGGAAACTAAGATTCGCTTTGTTAAAAAAATTGCAGAATCTCAGCGTAAGAAGGCCTCGATGGATTTGTTTGATAGTGACGATGATACAAGTAGTTTCTGCATGGATGAAGTTCAGGTTCACAAAGATGTTATGTTGGATCAATCCCTTGATGCTCTTATATTTGAGTTGGGAACTCTAGAGAAGTTTGCTGCCGAAGCCAAAGGGTGTGCTTATGGATCAGTGGAAGAAGGAAGTGTGTCTCAGGAGGCATTGATAAACATGCATGGCTTGAAAGCTAAAGTCACTAATCAAGCTAGAGACCTCTCTGTTGAGGCAGGTGGTAAAGGTTCAGCTAAGAAAGATCTCAACGCCCAACGAAATTTGTTCAGAGATCTTGTTGTATTTCTTGAGGGTGGATACGCACCTGAAACATCTACAAAGGTCGGAGGGGACTCTTTACAGACAAGAACGTGGTATCAGATGTTACAATTCAATTGTTTGAAGCATTTCCTTGGGGGTGGTTTAATCAAGCATATGCAGGAGAATGAATTCCTTCATGATGTATTTAGTTTCACTCCAAAGAAGATTGGTGCCACTATTATGTCTAGTGACGAAAAGAGGTTTTTTAAATCACCTAACTCAGCTCTCAACAAAGCAAGGACGCGATTCATGAACGAACAGAGGATGTTAACTATGATTGCGGAATCTGAACGTTGGGCATTATGCAGCGATGGTGGAGAATGAATGATGGCTTTAGAAGTGATTTTGAAGCTCTGCATTTAAACTTGTTGATCGTAGTGTCACTTTTGCTGTTTCATGTTTTGATTAGATTTGTGTCATTCTTAAGTCTCTTGCCCTATTACAACAATTTTGTCGACTGTATATCCTATGATACAACAGTTGTTGGTCTTAGTCATTTAATACGGAAAAATACTAATAAACATCTACTATAGAAATACCTCAATTAAGAGGATAATGAGAGGAAAAAAATGAATAAGGTAAATTATATTAAGGGGTTTTTGCTAAAAATGACCTAAAATTTGATTTTGAATACAAAAGTAGACCCCTGATGTAATGCTTAGCAAAAATAATCTAATGGGGTAGTGAAAAGACAATATACTCCTATATGACCAAATAAAAAAACGGATGTTCTAATTACGGTTTAAACCCTGACGAAGTCTACTTTAAAGTAATAATAGACTTCTAACACAGCTTATGAAGTCTACTGTATAATTAAATCATAAAATTTATTTTTAAAAATTATAAAAATAATATTAGTTTCAAATTTGTAATCATAAATTAGATATTAGTAATCCTAATGTATATAAATTATTTTTTAATATTCATAAGTTTAAATTTGTTAATTCAAATTAAGAAGAACAAAATATTTGATTTAGGGTTTACACTTAGTAGACTTCAATATAGAAGTCTGCTAAGCCGAATAAATTAACTTTACCAGAAATTAAACCAAAAATAGTTTTCTTAACCAAAAATTAAACCAAAATTAAACAAAAAAATATTAGTCATATATATAAGATGTAACCCTAATTTTTTAGTGGAAAAAAAACTCTCGCCTCTCGGCGCATCACTCGCCTCTCTCGCCGGCCTCTTCGCCTCTCTCCCCTCTCTTCTCATTTCTTCTCTACCCTAAGCGTAGGAGTCACTGCCTTCACTGGGATTAGGGTTTTCACTGCCGCTTTAAAGCTATCTCCTCTTGCTTGCTGCAGATACCTCTTTGCCGTTGATCTTCTCCTTCATCTACAAACATGGGGTACGTTTCTCCTATCGTAGATCCTTTGTCTTGTGTCTCTGTTTGCTCTTTTAGCGTTTTAGCAATCTGTTTTTCTCGTTGTTTTGGTGAATTATGAGTGATTTAGTCGAATCTGCTTTGATTTTTTTTGTTGGAAATGGTGTCATGACTCGAATTTTAATTGTGGCATCGGACAATCAATGAGTTCTATCGGGATTATGTGGCAATGTGTGTTCGTTTCTCGATATATTTACTCATTTTTTTCTTTTCCTCATGGATCCACAATTGATTATAAATAATTTTGCTAAGTGCTAACTCAATAGATAGGAGCTAATCTGGAGATTTAGAGTATAATAAAACCCATGTGATTTTCTCTGCGCTCTAGTTATTAAAGCTTATGTTTGTTCATATCCTACTCGAAGCTGAATGTTGTTTAATGTGGTGTAATGTTGCAGTAAGACAAGGGTTATGGGAGCTGGGCGCAAGCTCAAGAGACTTCGGATTAACCAGAGGTCGGCTGACAAGCAGTACAAGAAGTCTCACCTTGGAAATGAATGGAAGAAGCCTTTTGCTGGTTCATCTCACGCCAAAGGAATCGTCCTCGAGAAAATGTAACGCTTTTTAAAAAAAACAGTCTTCATTTTCCTGTTTTTTTGAGTTTCGACATTTTAGCTGATCTGACTTTGTGTTTGATTATGCAGCGGTATTCAGGCTAAGCAGCCAAACTCTGCTATCCGTAAGTGTGCCAGAGTTCTCTCTGCTGAGCTCAAGCTCGCCGGTGCTACCAGACATCTCAGGGGCGATTTCATTGCCGCAGCTGGTTCCCTCCTCGTTGCCGGATTTCTCGTTGGTCGCCGGCACTAAATGGTAAACCATCGTTACTCTCTTTGGTTGTCCGTTGAAAGACTCTCTCTCTTCCATATCTTTATTTTGATTTTTTCTTATTTAAATGTTAAGATGCTCGGGTTGATGAATTTGGTTATTATTACAGGTATGTTATTCAAGCATGTGTAGTTGTCTATATGATATTGCATTCTAATTATCTGTACAAGCTACGGGAATGTGCTCCAAATGATATTGCTAGCAGGAGAAGTAATCTCTATTTTGCAGATGTGTGGCAGGGCTGGTCGGCCTCCATTTGATGACACGGGAATGGTTATTATTATGACTAGAAGAGGGACGGTTATATACTGCAACTTTTCTCTGTGCCTGAATCTCTTACTTTATTTTAATCTTCTCTTATCTTATCTGGCTGTGATTTATTAAATGATTACAGGTCCATCTTTATGAGAATCTTTTGAATGGATGCGAGGTTGTTGAATCACAGTACGTATTGGCCGATGAACTTTTTGGAACCCTTTGCTTTTCTGCACATTAAAGCTATTTGTTGACTTTCAAAAACATTCTTCTGTTGTTTTTTTTTGTCTCAGATTGCTGCCATGCTTAATAGAGCACCTAACCGCAGAAATAGTTCAACTTACTGTCAACAAATAGTTCAACTTACCGCAGAAACACAGTGTGGGGCATGCGGCCGATGAGTTCTGGATCTGCTGTGACGTTTGTGAGAACTGGCTCCATGGGAAGTGTGTGAAGATAACACCAGCCAGGGCTGAACACATCAAGCAGTTCAAGTGCCCATCTTGCAGCAACAAGAGGGCTCGGTCTTAAACTAGTTTTTATTGCCGCGTCGGTCGTAAACAACTGTGTTATAATCATTAAGTTGTTTTTCTTGTTATAGTCATTAAGCAGAATATCAATATGACAAATTGTAAAACATATGCATCATGTAATGCAAATTGATGTTAATATATGGAAATCTTTTCAGTTTATCTTTTTAAGGAGTATGATAACAAGCCTTAAACATGATTAAAAGTCTTGAATGCACATATTCTTTTTTACACAATGTTTTAAATCAGCTTATGTCACTTTATCAACTTAATTTTGTATGTAATATCAACTTGTGTGACTTGTACTATAAATATTAACTTGTAAACTAGAATACAAAAACATTGCACAAAATACAAGTTCTTTTCTATCTCCTATTTTCAATTGAACTATTCTATATAATAAACACACAAAAAATCATATTAGCAAACATAATTATAAACCAAATTATGGCAAACACATAGAACATAAATTTTTCTAGCAATTAGACTTCGTGTGCAGACTTCATCCGTAGACTGCTGGAGAAGTCTACTTTTACAACCTAACTAGCTTATAAATCAAAAAATTGATTTCACACTAATTATCGACTTAAATCAAATGAAAATCATTGAGTAGTTCAACCACTTGCTAACACGCATATCCAAACCTCGAAATTTTAAAAAACATTATAAATATTTTTCAAAAGCGTTTTTAAAATAAATACAAATAGTAGACTTCCCAATTAGACTTCCTTAGTAGACTTCAGGAGAAGTCTACTGAAGTCTACTTTGATAAGCTAAGTAGCTTAAAAATCGAAACTTCTGATTCAACAATAAATATCAAATAAAATGAAATGAAATTCACTGGGTAGTTCAATCACTTACTAAGAAGCAATTCTAATCCAAAAATTAAAAAAAATACTTTATAAATTTGCCTAAAATGCGTTTTTAAAAAAACTGCAATAAGTTCTCTTCTAAAGCAGACTCCAAACGTAGACTGGAGGAGAAATCTACTTTTTCATAGTGAAGTCTACTAAAGAAGTCTACTAAAAAACAGGTTATTTTTGCAATTGACCAATCCGTTGACTTTTCCTTCAGTAGACTTCAGAAGTAGACTTCCGGCCAAAAAGGTTATTTTAGCATTTGACCGATGCATTGACTAACAAAGTAGACTTCTATTGTAGACTTCATGTACGAGTAGACTTCTTTGACAGTCTACTTTTTCAATAGAAGTCTACGAAAAAAGGTTATTTTTGCAATTGAATTTTTTGAGTAGACTTCACTGTGAAGTCTACTAAAAAAAGATTCCTTCTAAGTTTGACCGAAAGATATAAGTAGACTTCCCAAAGAAGTCTACAGTTTTTAGACTTCTTTCTGAAGTCTACTGCAGCTTTCCAGAGTTTTCTGAATTTTTTATTTTTTAAAAAACTTTAGTCAAACACTAAAATGACCTATACGTTTTTGGTCAAACTACAAAAGTAACTTAAAAGTAGACTTCTTGTGCAGACGTAAACAGTAGACTTTAGAAAGAAGTCTACATTAAAAAGTCAAAATACGGTCAACTACAAAAATAACCTCTTTTCTTTCGTAGACTTCTTAAGCCTTCAAATGAAGTCTACTATGTTTTTTTTTGTTTTCAAAGGATATCGAGTAGACTTCTCGTGAGGTTTAATGAAGTCTACTTTTAAAAAATCAATTGCAAAAATAACCTTATGTTGACTAGTAGACTTCAGTATACTTCACGAGAAGTCTACTTTCGCGATATGAAAACTGAAATATGGAAAAATTGAAGTGCGACGATTACCTTTAACAAAATTGAGCTTGGCTACAGTTCTTTTAAGCACCCAGAACTCAGGATTTCACCAAAAATAAGCAACCCAGATGTTAAGTAACCAGAAATCATCAAAAATGCATGACTTTTGGCATTGTAACTTAGCCCAGATGTTTTGGAGAAGAAATTATGAAAGAATGAGGAAGGTTATGAGTGAATGAGCTCAAATATTTACTTATTACAGCTTTGAAATTGGTTGAGAAGCATTTATTCCATTTTCATGGTTGTTCATGGTGGTTGAAGAAATTGTAGAAGATGGCATTCTCGTAATAAAAAGGTCTTTAGAAGGTCCAATGAGACTTTAGCCAAATTAAAGAAAAATCGAAATAATAGATTTATAATGACATTTTCGTTAATAGTTTAAGTGAGAAAGATAAAATTGTAAGAAAATGACAAAAGTTGGAGAAAGAAAAAAAGAGGTTAGTTTTGTGTTTGACTTTGAAATATGGGTTAAATCTGAAACTCTCCCTTAAATTAAACCTGGATTTTGTATACATCAAATATGAAAACCTTTTAAAGTTCTCACAAACTGTTTGCACAAAAAAAAAGTGCTAATAAACCAATTAAGTACGCACACTTTAACACAAAGAAACTTTAACACAAAGAATCGTGTTCTTGGCATTCTTGCGATGCAAGTAAATAGGCATACGCAACTAAGAAGTAATAACCTAATTGAGTAAACAAGAGCCAGCCACCGTAGCTACTGAATATGTTTCTTCACCACCACAGATTTAATCTCACCAGATGGAACCTGGAAGTCTTGGAATCATTGGCCAATCTTCTTATTGTTGTATTATTATGGTTGGAAGTGGAACACTGAGCCTTTGTGTGATAAAATGATGGTTCAAGAGCTCAGACGCTGTAGCCCTTATCGGATACTTTAATCCCATGGTGCCCTTGTATGATGGATGTAGTCCATGGCACTGCCGCAAAAAGTCTTTAGCCACCGGAGAGATTTCTTCAAACAACCTCCACTCATAATAATTTTCAAATAGTTCTTGCTCGGGTTCACCACCAAACATCTCGTAAACCACACACCCTAGAGACCATATATCAAGAGCCGGATCGATGAGTCCGTTTGGCCCAAGAGACTCCCGTGGCATGTAATGAGGCGTACCAGGAAACATAGAGCCACATGGATGCGCATAACTGGAATTAGGCTCTTTGGATAAACCGAAATCAGCAAGCTTGAGATCAAATGGCTCTCCAAAAGTGGTGGAGTGGAAGAGGAGTATATTGCCTGGCTTGAGGTCGCAGTGAACGTAGCCTTTAGCGTGAAGAGCCTCGAGTCCTTGTAGGATCATACGAGCTGCGCGTTGGATCATATATTCAGGTAATGGTTTCCCAGGAAACTCCGAGATCATCTTGTGGAGAGTTTGTTTGTTGGCGTATTCCATGTAGATGTAACAATATCTTGTGTTGTTCTCCAAGTGAACAAAAGTGCTTTTAGCTTACACGATGCAAGGATGGTTGTGGAAACGTAGCATGATGTCGAGTTCCTTCTCAAGATTACTGAAGAGATTTATCGAACATGTCTTCTTTGCGTAGGCTCGTAGTTGAGGATCACCTACGAGAGTTACAGAGCCGAAGCTCCCTCGGCCAAGAACGCATGCTTGTGTCAATGAAGATTCTTCCACAAGCCAAGGATCTCTGCTTTCACAAATCTGCTCCATCACAGTGAAAAGTAGCGTAATCCAAGGATATCTTTAGGTATTGTTACGTTTTGTTATCAAATAATATAATCTGATCACTTACACTAGTTTATATAGTTCAACAAGTCGGCGGTGGTTGCAATTTCCAATTTTGAAAGTAGGAAACTAGACTATTAATACGTCAATCAGTTTCCCCCATGCGTTACTGTTTCCTCATATACGGGTGAAGTGACACGTACACTTTTGTTCTTCCTAAATAACCTCTTGTTCCTTCGATATGGATGGTTATCCGGCAAAAACATGCGGTGACTATCAAACCAACAGGTTTTTTTAACCATGTTTTAGCTGAAACACATCAGTTCGATCAAGACAATAAGGACAAGATAACCTCCCATGTGTAGTTCATCCTGATAGCATACCATAAGCGGGGAAATTGCTTATTGTCCTCATAAGCACAGCCCGCATAGTAAAAAAATTTCCCGTTGAATAGTCATACGTTCGAACGCTGGTATACCATAACTGATTCAACTCATGTATGAGTGGCTGCAGAAATACATCGAGATCTCACTTTGGATGATTGGGACCTAGAACCAAAATATTAAGGAAAATAAATTCCCTTTGCATGCACATATCTGGAGGAAGGTTATAAGGGGTCAGGATTACTGGCCATAATGAATATTGTCTACCAGACATACCAAATGGACTAAAACCATCAGTGCACAGACCAAGATAGACATTCCATTTGAACTTAGCAAAATCTGGGTATACCGTATTGAAGTGTTTCCATGCCTTTGCATCTGATGGATGAGCAACTTCTCCATCTACTTGTGTATGTTCTGCATGTCATCTCATCGATGCAGCTGTCCTTTCAGATTGATAGAGCCGTTTTAACCTATCAGTTATAGGGAGATACCATATACGTTGGTACAATCCTTTCACGCCCACCAGTTTGCGGCCTGTATCTTGGTTTTTGACAAAATCAACATTCCTACAGCTGCTCATCATCTTTCCAGAAAATCATACAATT